TTTTTTTTTTTAATTATCTTGATTGCTCAATTCGCCATTCATGCGAACTATTTCATTCTGTTGCTTTTTAATGACCTGCAACAAATGTCCATTTCCAGGCAGCTCCTTCCAATTTATGGCTGATCCCTGCACGTAAATCGTGAGTTTCGATTGTTTGTTGTTATTGGTCAGGCAGTCAAGTGCTTCAGAGACAAACTCCTCGGTTAGCAGTTGACACTCTCGCATATTCAAGATCACCAAGTTGGGCAAACCCTTTATAAGTTCCATTACCTGTGCATTCGTTATGGACGACATTTGAATATGAAGCGACTTCAGCTTCTGCAGTTTGAGCAAGTGTTCAAGCGGCACTTCTTTACACCACACACAGAAGTTTTCCAGGCTGAGCTGGAGAGTGTCACAAATCCTGTCCACATGCTCAGTCGTTAGATATGCGCCCTTTATGGAGAGACTTTCAATCGTTTCTCCTGGCTTGTTTCCAAGAGCTTCCAAAAATTCATCTYTCAAAGAACTGTGAATCCAAATATATAAATGCTTCAGTGTTTTCAATCGCAGGACTTTCTCGTATGGCAGGCCTCTTATAAGGGGCACACCATATTCAAAACTTATCAAATTTATGAATTTGTCGTCAACAGGCTCCACATAGTCCTGAAAGTGCTGCCTCTTCTTTTGGACAATATCCATTTCGGAATATATGTTCTTCATCGAATCAACACAAATCGGAAATACTGATCGTAATTTATTGTCACGTGGCATTGAAAAAAATTCTACGATCGCGGCAATGGGAACAAGGTTTTTGACATTGACATTGAACTGGCCGAGTTTACGTGTATCGACGAAACGAAAAGACGTCTGCACAATATTAGGATATTAATTAGTTGTTCGTGATAAATAGAGTTTTCACAGTTTTACCTTGAGTAAAAAAAAAAAACAAGTCCAAGTTTCGGTTATTTCAATTACGTGAAATATATCCATTGTTTCTCAACCGATCGCTCCAACGAACCAAATAAGACTGCTGTTAGCGTCCAGAAGTCTATTTTGATAATGGCTATCAATTCGTAGAGAGCGACTCTCGACTCAATTCGTTCTGAGCGACTCTCTTTGTATTCTTTAGAATCTCTTTCAGTCAGACACATTGCAATGGCAAATTCGTGTGACGCTCTCAAATGAGTGTCGCGTAAAAACGAATAATATTTTCGCTCACACAAAGACTCTCAAACACAGTTTGACCAGTGTTGCCAAATCAGCTTTTTTCCCGTCAAATCTGGCTTTTTTGAAAATCCAATTGCGGGAAAAATTCCAAAACTCGGATCGATTTTCTATGAATGAGCCAATCGATAATAATGATATATATTTTATTCAATAACTTATAACTTATTGTGAGCAATAATATCGAACTTCATGATTCTATGTAAATAACAAGTAAGAAGGCTCTAGTCGAGACTGCTCGACTAGGAGATACCCTGAACCCTCTAAGCTGATACTCTAATCATTCTGCATTTTTATGCACACATACATACACATGCATCTACACACACGCATAAGCCTGCGCTCTGCTAACAGCGCAGTAAGCAGCGACTGCGCTTGGGCTGCGCTGCTGTGTGGGCAATATTATGAGAATTTATTTGTTGAATAATTTCTTTTGTAGACATACGATCTTNCAAATTTGAAGACTCCAGGTCTAAAAATGTTCAAATTAGGCTAAAAAAACAAAATCAATTTTTCGATTATTCTCGATAAAAAAGTTATCGGACGATTTATCGAAAAAATAAAGCAAACTCGTACTGCGTATGGTACACACGAGTATGCATGCCAAATTTCAGCTCTCTAGCTCTTATAACTTCTGAGATCGACGCACTCATACGGACGGACGGACGGACGGACGGACGGACGAACAGACGGACATGGCTATATCGACTCAGCTCGTCACGCTGATCAAGAATATATATAATTTGTGGGGTCTGCCACGCCTCCTTCTGCCCGTTACATACTTTTTCATAAAACCATTATACCCTGATTTCCCATTTTCAATGGGTTCAGGGTATAAAAAGTAAAAATTCTCTAACAGAGCTTACAAAGCAATTAAAAAGAATGCGTGCAACTCATTTGATAGCTGTAGTACAAAAATTTATGTGTTAACTAAATATGTTTTAATTAATAGGTTGCTGGCAAATTTTCGAATAGTGAAAAATGTTGATTCGTTTTCTTGCATATGTATATTTTTGCCAGTAATAATATAAATAGTATCATTCCAATACTAGAGTTATTCTATTCAAAGAAGATTAAAAGTATTGAACACCAATATAAGAATATTCTCCCAGTTCAGTGGGGAAATTCTTAAGACTCTACATAGTTTAGGGTGAGAGGTGTGCTTCTAAGTATTCGGGAGGAAATAAAAAATGTAGGAACTTGACAACTTTAGCAATGGTAAAGTAAAAATGGTAAGTGGTAAAAAGTATTAGTCACGGCAATAGTGCAAAAACATAACTGCGCAATAAAATGAATATTGATATGCTTACTCAATTTTAAGCGTCAGGTTAAACCTATATAGTGTAAAACATTACAGATACGGCTTGCCTCGGTTGAAGAAATGCTGCCATGACTAGTTAGTTAGTATATTTAACTTTATATCTAGTTACTACTTTATTTATATCTAGTTACTAAAAGTATATAAGTATATAAATAAGTATATAAATATCAATCAAATCAAAGCAAAAATCATCAGATTTTTGGTCAGATTTTTTTAGTCAATGTAAAATCTGAAATTTATATATATACATTATTTCGCTTAATTTAGGATTCCTTCTTTGCAGAATTCTTCAGATGCGCATATTTCCGAATTGATAGCGAAGACGACGCAACTCTCCAACTTGATCGGTCGCATTAATTTACTAATGGGCATTTGCACTTGCATTGGCTTTGTAACATATCCGATATTTGGGTCCGAGCGCGGTTAGATTTTCAGCAGCAAAACAAACAATCTCAATGAGAATTGAGTGTTTGTGTGTGTGTGTGTGTGTGTGTTTGTGTAATTGTATATTTGTATTTGTATTTGCCATTACAGTGTTGCCCTATGGCATGTATATTCCGGGTATCGATAAATATACCAGCCCTGCCTATGAGGTATTCTTTGTGGTGCAGGTCATAATGGCGCCGATGGGCTGCTGCATGTACATACCGTATACGAATCTGATTGTTACCTTCACACTGTTTGCCATTCTCATGTGCCAGGTGCTACAGCATAAGCTGCGCACCTTGCGGCAATTGCCAGGCATTCGAGTGCGTGACGAAATTATATGGTGCATACGATATCAGCTCAAGCTGGCTGGGTAAGCTATTGTATTTCACCTTCATGCAACCATTAAGCCACTCACTCATTCACTCAATTATAGCCTGGTCGATGCCATGAATGCATTGACCACCCATTTGCATCTGCTGGAGTTTCTATGCTTTGGCGCAATGCTTTGTGTGTTGCTCTTCTCGTTAATCATTGTAAGTTGGCAATTTATAATTTAAATTCTAATTATAATTTTATCTAAATATATGTATATTCAATTCAATTTAATTTCATCACTATAAAAACTATTCTCAATAGGCACCAACAATAGCTCAGTTTATAATCGTGATTTTCTATATGATCATGATATTTTCCAACACTGTTGTGCTCTACTACGTGGCCAATGAGCTTTATTTTCAGGTAGATGCCCATTGTCAAATTTTTAATTGTTTTAATAATAACTTAATACTCTTCGAATTATTTACAGAGTTTCTATATATCCATTGCCGCCTATGAGATCAATTGGATGGATCTGGATATAGAGACACAGAAAGTAGTAAAGTTTCTCATCATGCGTTCTCAAAAGCCACTCGCAGTAAGCATAAATTTTCCTAAATTCATATTTATACTTATATATGTGTATATACATGTATATATTATATATTTGATACATCCCCAGGTACTTGTTGGCGGCGTTTATCCAATGAATCTAAAGATGCTGCAGTCGCTGCTGAACGTCATCTATTCGTTTTTTACGCTGCTGCGACGCGTCTATGGCTGAGCTGCTTTTAAGTTCTTTGTACACCGGACAATTGCCATAGATTGATTGCATTTTCGCTTCTTCTTCTTCTACCTCTAGCTCTATTTTTTTTTTGGCCAATAAACGTTTGCCTCAATTCGATTGCATGTCTAAAGCGGTTGCAAAAGCAAGTGAAATAAACTATAATAAAAATGCGTCTGCGTCTGGCTCTGCTCCATTGTGTAGCCCCTGCCCAAGTGCCCAGAGCAGCTGGATACTGAGCTCTGTGTCCGACTCGCCTGTGCTATGTCAGTGTGCGTGTGTGTGTTGGCTCTATTGGCTATGCCCGGCACGTGCCACTTAGATAACTTCTATTTAAGCAAATATAAATCTAAAGTGTGTTAAATTAGATTAAAATGTTCTCGTAAACTAAATGCTGCAGTCAGACAATGTATTCGACTCGTTGTCTTATATTGTGTTTTTCGTATCGCTTACAAATTTTACACAATGTCTTGCAGGTCTCCTTCTTCTGCTTGCCACTCAGTTAATTAATGTTGAAAATTGGCAAGTGAGCTGTTTACATATGTATGTGTGCTAAGGGAATACATAGACTTGTTGAATAGCCCCAAGCGGAGACCACAGCAAATTTAATTGCCAAACTGTTTTTCAATACTCTGAATCCTTATTGAAAATGGAAATGGGCAGGACAGGATATAATGGACGTGGAAGACCTGCATTCATTAGCTGCAATAGGAAGAGCTTCTTACTTGCATGTTTTTAACTTGTTTATTTTTTTCGTTCATTTTCGTTTCCTTTATTGATCTATTTATTTATTTATTTTTTCTCTTATATATTTAATTACTTTATTGTATTTTTTTTAGATATTTTAATTAGCTCGTATTTTTATATAATTTAATAATTATTTATTTTGTATTTATTTTTGTTACCTATAAGTCTGGCCACATTTTATAAGTGTAAGTGAAATTATTGATTCAACAATAAAATAATTGATAATATAAAAACGTTTAGGCGAAAAACCCGGAAAAGCAAAATGGGATATTAAGCGAGAACGAGAGAAAAGAGTTTGGAAACCATTAAAATTTATAATTTGGAGAAAAAACAAAAGCGAAAAATATTATCCCTATCTAAAAAAAAAAAATAAAATAAAATAAAAGAGGAACAAGTTTAACCCCTAAGTAAACATAATTGGGAATACGGGTATGTTCTAGTCGAATAGATGATTCATACTTGCTATACTCTGGAGAAACGCAGTTCCAGCTTCAACAGTTTTCCACAGGTTTTTGATGCAGTATTTTATTTAAGAAAATGTGTTGGACTTCACTTCGCTAGCACTAAATATTTCTACAGCTAATTGAAAAGCCACTTGAGTGTTTTTTTGCCAATTCATTATTAGCCAAAGGCCAATTAAAATAAAGCTAGGATCAATAAGTGTCTGAATGTAATTCAGTATAATTTGTGCAATATTTACTTTTCAGGTTTGTTCAAAGAGCACAAGCTCTTTAAATTCCTGTTCGACTTTTGGCCCAATTTAAAGAATCTGTGCGTTAACACTTCAATTTTCCTAATCAACATTAAGTTTCACTTTTGTCGTGGCTCCGCAGCCACATGCTCATTCAACGAGTCGTCAAATTGACTTTAATTTAAGAATTTTTTATATGCCATTCACACACACACACACACACACACAGGCAGAGAAAGACCTACAAAAGGAATTGCTGCCTATGTGCGGCACTTGCTGCACGCGGTATTTCCCTGTCTGCTGCTTAATGGCATTCCATTGCTCTCCACGATGCTGTCTGTTCGACCCACTCTCCTCTCTCTCCCTACCTCACTCACACTACAATGCACTATGGGTCAAAAGCCCGATTTTTTGGAAAAAAGTCTTATTTTCAAGTTGAAAAAATTTACAAAATTTTAATGCCAATCTATTAGAAATACTCTATATATAAATGTTACATACTCAGAATCTTAACAGAGGCGCGATCTGCTAACAAAACTGCTGTTAAACAGAGCTGTTATGCATGACACGCACATCATCAGTTTTGTAAAAACTTTATATGAATTTCAATCGCCAATTGAAATAAAAATAATGACAATTAGATCAAAATTTGTGGTGGAAAATATAGAATCGGGCTTGTTCTTTGTTTTTACGTGTTTGTATTGTCCAAAATCTTTATGTGATGTGAAGTTTTGAGTAAGTCAAAAAGCTGCTTTTGACATCAGTAAAAAAAAAAAATTTTGTCTTTGATAAGAGAAAACTTGTGCTTGTAGCATTTTGTAGCGATGAATTTACGCCCAT